GGATGGGTGCATGGGGGGATGGGTGCATGGGGGGATGGGTGCATGGGGGGATGGGTGCATGGGGGGATGGGTGCATGGGGGATGGGTGCATGGGGGGATGGGTGCAGGGGGGGATGGGTGCATGGGGGGATGGGTGCATGGGGGGATGGGTGCATGGGGGGATGGGTGCATGGGGGGATGGGTGCATGGGGGGATGGGTGCATGGGGGGATGGGTGCATGGGGGGATGGGTGCATGGGGGGATGGGTGCATGGGGGGATGGGTGCATGGGGGGATGGGTGCATGGGGGGATGGGTGCATGGGGGGATGGGTGCATGGGGGGATGGGTGCATGGGGGGATGGGTGCATGGGGGGATGGGTGCATGGGGGGATGGGTGCATGGGGGGATGGGTGCATGGGGGGATGGGTGCATGGGGGGATGGGTGCATGGGGGGATGGCGCATGGGGGGAGGGTGCATGGGGGATGGGTGCATGGGGGATGGGTGCATGGGGGGATGGGTGCATGGGGGGATGGGTGCATGGGGGGATGGGTGCATGGGGGGATGGGTGCATGGGGGGATGGGTGCATGGGGGATGGGTGCATGGGGGGATGGGCGCATGGGGGATGGGTGCATGGGGGGATGGGTGCATGGGGGGATGGGTGCATGGGGGGGATGGGTGCATGGGGGGATGGGTGCATGGGGGGATGGGTGCATGGGGGATGGTGCATGGGGGGATGGGTGCATGGGGGGGATGGGTGCAGGGGGGGGGGGGGTGATGGGGGGGGGATGGGTGGGGGGATGGGTGGGGGGGGAGGGGGCATGGGGGGGATGGGCGCATGGGGGGATGGGTGCATGGGGGGATGGGCGCATGGGGGGATGGGCGCATGGGGGGATGGGTGCATGGGGGGATGGGTGCATGGGGGGATGGGTGCAGGGGGATGGGTGCATGGGGGGATGGGTGCATGGGGGGATGGGTGCATGGGGGGATGGGTGCATGGGGGGATGGGTGCATGGGGGGATGGGTGCATGGGGGGATGGGTGCATGGGGGGATGGGTGCATGGGGGGATGGGTGCATGGGGGGATGGGTGCATGGGGGGATGGGTGCATGGGGGGATGGGTGCATGGGGGATGGGTGCATGGGGGATGGGTGCATGGGGGGATGGGTGCATGGGGGGATGGGTGCATGGGGGGATGGGTGCATGGGGGGATGGGTGCATGGGGGGATGGGTGCATGGGGGGATGGGTGCATGGGGGGATGGGTGCATGGGGGGATGGGTGCATGGGGGGATGGGTGCATGGGGGGATGGGTGCATGGGGGGATGGGCGCATGGGGGGATGGGTGCATGGGGGGATGGGCGCATGGGGGGATGGGTGCATGGGGGATGGGTGCATGGGGGGATGGGTGCATGGGGGGATGGGTGCATGGGGGGATGGGTGCATGGGGGGATGGGTGCATGGGGGATGGGTGCATGGGGGGATGGGTGCATGGGGGGATGGGCGCATGGGGGGATGGGTGCATGGGGGGATGGGCGCATGGGGGATGGGTGCATGGGGGGATGGGCGCATCATGGGGGGGGGGGGATGGGTGCATGGGGGGATGGGTGCATGGGGGGATGGGTGCATGGGGGGATGGGTGCATGGGGGGATGGGTGCATGGGGGGATGGGTGCATGGGGGGATGGGCGCATGGGGGGGATGGGTGCATGGGGGGATGGGCGCATGGGGGGATGGGGGCATGGGGGGATGGCGCATGGGGGGATGGGCGCATGGGGGGATGGGTGCATGGGGGGATGGGCGCATGGGGGGATGGGTGCATGGGGGGATGGGTGCATGGGGGGATGGGTGCATGGGGGGATGGGTGCATGGGGGGATGGGTGCATGGGGGGATGGGTGCATGGGGGGATGGGTGCATGGGGGATGGGTGCATGGGGGGATGGGTGCATGGGGGGATGGGTGCATGGGGGGATGGGTGCATGGGGGGATGGGTGCATGGGGGGATGGGTGCATGGGGGGATGGGTGCATGGGGGGATGGGTGCATGGGGGGATGGGTGCATGGGGGGATGGGTGCATGGGGGGATGGGTGCATGGGGGGATGGGTGCATGGGGGGATGGGTGCATGGGGGGATGGGTGCATGGGGGGATGGGTGCATGGGGGGATGGGTGCATGGGGGGATGGGTGCATGGGGGGATGGGTGCATGGGGGGATGGGTGCATGGGGGGATGGGTGCATGGGGGGGATGGGTGCATGGGGGATGGGTGCATGGGGGGATGGGTGCATGGGGGGATGGGTGCATGGGGGGATGGGTGCATGGGGGGATGGGTGCATGGGGGGATGGGTGCATGGGGGGATGGGTGCATGGGGGGATGGGTGCATGGGGGGATGGGTGCATGGGGGGATGGGCGCATGGGGGATGGGTGCATGGGGGGATGGGCGCATGGGGGGATGGGTGCATGGGGGGATGGGTGCATGGGGGGATGGGTGCATGGGGGGATGGGTGCATGGGGGGATGGGTGCATGGGGGGATGGGCGCATGGGGGGATGGGCGCATGGGGGGATGGGTGCATGGGGGGATGGGTGCATGGGGGGATGGGTGCATGGGGGGATGGGTGCATGGGGGGATGGGTGCATGGGGGGATGGGCGCATGGGGGGATGGGTGCATGGGGGGATGGGTGCATGGGGGGATGGGTGCATGGGGGGATGGGTGCATGGGGGGATGGGTGCATGGGGGGATGGGTGCATGGGGGGATGGGTGCATGGGGGGATGGGTGCATGGGGGGATGGGCGCATGGGGGGATGGGTGCATGGGGGGATGGGCGCATGGGGGGATGGGTGCATGGGGGATGGGCGCATGGGGGGATGGGCGCATGGGGGGATGGGTGCATGGGGGGATGGGTGCATGGGGGGATGGGTGCATGGGGGGATGGGTGCATGGGGGGATGGGTGCATGGGGGGATGGGCGCATGGGGGGATGGGTGCATGGGGGATGGGCGCATGGGGGGATGGGTGCATGGGGGGATGGGCGCATGGGGGGATGGGCGCATGGGGGGATGGGCGCATGGGGGGATGGGCGCATGGGGGGATGGGTGCATGGGGGGATGGGTGCATGGGGGGATGGGTGCATGGGGGATGGGTGCATGGGGGATGGGTGCATGGGGGGATGGGTGCATGGGGGGATGGGTGCATGGGGGGATGGGTGCATGGGGGGATGGGTGCATGGGGGGATGGGTGCATGGGGGGATGGGTGCATGGGGGGATGGGCGCATGGGGGGATGGGTGCATGGGGGGATGGGCGCATGGGGGGATGGGTGCATGGGGGGATGGGCGCATGGGGGGATGGGCGCATGGGGGGATGGGCGCATGGGGGGATGGGCGCATGGGGGGATGGGCGCATGGGGGGATGGGCGCATGGGGGGATGGGCGCATGGGGGATGGGCGCATGGGGGATGGGCGCATGGGGGGATGGGCGCATGGGGGGATGGGCGCATGGGGGGATGGGTGCATGGGGGGATGGGTGCATGGGGGGATGGGTGCATGGGGGGATGGGCGCATGGGGGGATGGGCGCATGGGGGGATGGGCGCATGGGGGGATGGGCGCATGGGGGGATGGGCGCATGGGGGGATGGGCGCATGGGGGGATGGGCGCATGGGGGGATGGGCGCATGGGGGGATGGGCGCATGGGGGGATGGGCGCATGGGGGGATGGGCGCATGGGGGGATGGGCGCATGGGGGGATGGGCGCATGGGGGGATGGGCGCATGGGGGGATGGGCGCATGGGGGGATGGGTGCATGGGGGGATGGGTGCATGGGGGGATGGGTGCATGGGGGATGGGTGCATGGGGGATGGGTGCATGGGGGGATGGGTGCATGGGGGGATGGGCGCATGGGGGGATGGGTGCATGGGGGGATGGGCGCATGGGGGGATGGGTGCATGGGGGGATGGGCGCATGGGGGGATGGGCGCATGGGGGGATGGGCGCATGGGGGGATGGGCGCATGGGGGATGGGCGCATGGGGGGATGGGCGCATGGGGGGATGGGCGCATGGGGGATGGGCGCATGGGGGGATGGGCGCATGGGGGGATGGGCGCATGGGGGGATGGGCGCATGGGGGGATGGGTGCATGGGGGGATGGGTGCATGGGGGGATGGGTGCATGGGGGGATGGGCGCATGGGGGGATGGGCGCATGGGGGGATGGGCGCATGGGGGGATGGGCGCATGGGGGGATGGGCGCATGGGGGGATGGGCGCATGGGGGGATGGGCGCATGGGGGGATGGGCGCATGGGGGGATGGGCGCATGGGGGGATGGGCGCATGGGGGGATGGGCGCATGGGGGGATGGGCGCATGGGGGGATGGGCGCATGGGGGGATGGGCGCATGGGGGGATGGGCGCATGGGGGGATGGGCGCATGGGGGGATGGGCGCATGGGGGGATGGGCGCATGGGGGGATGGGCGCATGGGGGGATGGGCGCATGGGGGGATGGGCGCATGGGGGGATGGGCGCATGGGGGGATGGGCGCATGGGGGGATGGGCGCATGGGGGGATGGGCGCATGGGGGGATGGGCGCATGGGGGGATGGGCGCATGGGGGGATGGGCGCATGGGGGGATGGGCGCATGGGGGGATGGGCGCATGGGGGGATGGGCGCATGGGGGGATGGGCGCATGGGGGGATGGGCGCATGGGGGGATGGGCGCATGGGGGGATGGGCGCATGGGGGGATGGGCGCATGGGGGGATGGGCGCATGGGGGGATGGGCGCATGGGGGGATGGGCGCATGGGGGGATGGGCGCATGGGGGGATGGGCGCATGGGGGGATGGGCGCATGGGGGGATGGGCGCATGGGGGGATGGGCGCATGGGGGGATGGGCGCATGGGGGGATGGGCGCATGGGGGGATGGGCGCATGGGGGGATGGGCGCATGGGGGGATGGGCGCATGGGGGGATGAGACGTGTGGGGAGTTAGACAAAGGGGGATGGGCGAATGGATTTTGGCCCATTGGTGTGAGTAGTACTCACAGCATGGCCCGTAAGCAGCATGATTGGAGCGAGCAGTGATGATGTCCTCTTCACTCCCTGCATGGGCAAATGACAACGTGCAAAGGCAAGGCGATGCATCACACATCACACAGCACACATCACACATCACACATCACACATCACACATCACACAGCACACATCACACATCACACATCACACATCACACATCACACATCACACATCACACATTGGGATAGATACCAACAGTGGCGCATGTACTGATGGTCAAAGCGGTGGTCATCGTGGTGACATGACGTGACACATAGCCAGCTGAAGGCAGCAAACTCACAACGACCAATTTGACCATGATCTACTGTCTTCGGTAGGTCTATTTTTAGCAGGTCAGCGGTCAACCTAACGGCGACAAGAGAACACAGAGTACTTGGTTTAGGACGTAAATGTTCCAAGTGCAATTCTGTGACGAGGGGAAAAAAGAATCCCAAAGGCGTACCCAGGATAATAATCAACGGCTATTCACTGGATGCAAAACAATTTGTGAACCCCTGATGCCAGCGCCCTCCCATGTTCAGCCTAAGCGGAACATGCTGATATGATAAATAAGGATTTGAGGTCCGAAGCGCGGGGTGTTTCTTAAGTCGGTCAGAAAGGCCACCTTTCCGCGCTGACGGCCTTTAGATGTATGTTACGCGCATCATACGAGGAGATTAAGAGAGGCCAAATAATATCGGCAATGGCTTACGTCTTTAGTGACAGTTAATTGCTTCCCCTTGTCGCCATCTGCCCCAGATGACGCTGGCACCAGATCCGTCCGTTGCCGCTTCGCCGATACCAGCTCCTGCCCCTCGGGACCATCGCCGTCGCGCTTTTCGGGCATTCCGTCGTTCGTTGATTCACCAGGAGGGAGAAGGTAAAATCCAAACAAGGTAACCGGAGAGAGACGATTTCTGGAACTGACAGGTCAAGAACAAAGAGAAGCTTTGTTGCTGGTCAGTTGCCTGGCACCCTGAGTTGGTAACTCGACAGGGATACTCGAAAACAAGGTGAAATTACGTTGCTCGATGAAATTAGGGACGACTCGTGGGTGAGGACAGCCAGAAATGCGAAAAGAGCTGACTAGTAATTTTTATCCAAAACCCCTAATCGAGCAGGGCGTGGTTACACAATGCAGGACAGAGATCTTTTGTGAATCAGTTCCACTTCACTTGGTAATTGTACAGTTTGGTACGAAATGACACTCACGGTGAGCTCGAGAATGCGACAGTTACGATTCCAGTTGGCTCGAACAAAAGTTCGCGAGGACCAGATTGTGCTTTTAGATTGCGCTCGCGAAACCACGCGTAACAGAACGACATCCTAAGAACCTAAACAGTGTTGGTCACTACAGCATTCCTTCCATTCCACGAAGGCTGGTCGAGGGGGGGATGTGATAGAAACGGCATAGAGGCTACTCGTGAAATTGTCTGTTGTTGCGGGGGTGATTCCATCCCCTCGCTGGTAACACGCTGGCTCTTGCTTCATCTCCGCCACACGAGAGGGACAGTGTTGCCTCGATTCCGCCTGTGGGAATAATTAGACCGCATTTTGCGCCACGAATGCCGTCTTGATTCCAGCACGTTCAACGCCGTAACTTCCCGTCTAACCTATTTGTCTAGCCCATAAAGACCGCAAGGTCTCCTGTCTAATTTTTATATCCGTAAACTGTTTCTTAGGGACTTTTTTTCTTTGTCCTTTAGATTGTCTCACTTATCTCAAGTCTTACCAAGATGGAGCTTCGTGCGGTGGACCTTACTCACGTTCGTTACTATCACGATGACCCTTTCGGTGTAATCATGGCATGGGCCTCGCTCGTCCCCGTATTCATCGCCTTCGGGTGCTTCCCCACCCACGTGGTTTTCCGCCGCGATTTGCGGACCATGTTCTTCATGCTCGGCCTCCTATTGGACGACACGTTCAACCACGTCATCAAGCACGCGCTCGAGATGCCACGTCCGCCGCACACGTGCGTCGCGCTCGAAGTGTGCGACTCGCACGGCATGCCGTCCGCGCATTCGCAGTTCATGGCGTTCTTCACGACGTTCGCGACGTGGCTCGTGTTTTACAAAATGGATTACGAAGACGAGAGGTGGCGATGGATCACCGCCGTCCTTCCCTGGCCCTTCACGTTTCTCACAATGGCCTCGCGGGTGTATCTCGGTTACCATACGATACCGCAGGTGAGCTTATATGGGGTACGAAAGTAATTGGGGTGCTTCATTGAAGTGATGGAGTGTGATTAGCGGCATGTGGCAGATTGTCACTGGAGTGAGTCATTGACCAATAAATAGCACGCATATCCATTTGGCATGACACCGCAACCATGTTGTTGACATTGCACAATCACCTGACATTGCACATGGTCTTTAACCCTCCACAACTTTCCCTCCCGCCCTCCCACACTTTTAAACCCGTCGCTTGCCTTTCCAAATCATGTCTCTTTTTCCCAATTCTCCCCATCCCCTCCCGATCCCTTCCACATCATGTCTAGAACGACCTTTTTAATGCCACCCTTCATTAACTTGTCCCCTCCCCCTTCATGCCCCCCCTCCCCCTTCATGCCCCCCTCCCCCTTCTTGCCCCCCTTCCCCCTTCATGCCCCCCTCCCCCTTCTTGCCCCCCTTCCCCCTTCATGCCCCCCTCCCCCTTCATGTCCCCCTCCCCCTTCATGTCTCCCTCCCCCTTCATGCCCCCCTCCCCTCCCCCTTCCCTTCCCCCTCCCCCTTCATGCGCCCCCCCCCACTAATATCAGTGCGGGTTGCTCCTTGGACTTTCACAATCCATCAGCCCAGTTCCAAACCATCAAGTGATCCGCCTTCCCAGCTGTACCTGAGTGAGAGCACGTGCAGGGGACAGGTGCCGCCAGCCCATGTGGAAGCGCATCAAGGGCACCGGCCACCTGCTCATGCTCATTCACACCACCTTCACACTGCTGTCTCCCCACTCCCGCCCCCAGGTCCTCACAGGCTTTTCCCTCGGAATCCTCTCTGCCTCCTTCTGGTTCTACGTGGTGCACCGTGTGTTAGTGCCCTTCATCCCTCCACCCTTGCCCTCTTCCTCCCTTCACCCTCCATTCCCCCCATCCCTCACTGCCACATTTGATCCTCCCTCCCACTTTCCCCCGTTCCCCCCCCACTCAAGCCCTTGCGGGCGTCACCCTCAGAATCCTCTCTGCCTCCATCTGGTTCCATCTGGTTTTTCAGAAATTTCAAAAAACAGATTCAATTCAAGTCCTGGCGGGTGTCACCCTCGGAATTCTCTCTGCCTCTACCTGGTTCCACGTGGTGCACCGTATGCTTATGCTTCCCTCTAGTTTACCGCTCTTCGTCCCTTCACTCACCATTTGCACCCGCCTTCCAGGTTCTAGCCGGTTTCACCCTCAGAATCCTCTCGGCCTCCACCTGGTTCCACGTGGTGCACCGCGTGCTTGTGCTGGTCTTCCCTCTAGTTGACCACTCTTCGTCCCTTCGCTCCCCATTCACACCCTCCCACTCAGGTTCTAGCAGGCTTCACTCTCGGAATCCTCTCAGCGTCCACCTGGTTCTATGTGGTGCACCGTGTCTTTGCGCCCTTCTTTCCTTCAACCCAGCTCTCTTCTTCCCTCCACCCTCCATTCACCCTATACACACGCTCGGGTCTTTGGGAATCCTCTCGGCGTCCACCTGGTTCTACATAGTGCGCCGTGTATTTGCTTGTGCACTACAGCCGACTGCCGCATCACATTCTCCCATCTCCCCTCCCCCCTTCTCCCCCCCCCCCCCCAGGTTCTAGCCGGCTTCACCCTGGGAATCCTCTCGGCCTCCACCTGGTTCTACGTGGTGCATCGTGTGTTTGCGCCTTTCTTCCCCGCCATCTCCGACAGCGCATGGGGGCGGTACCTGTGCATCAAGGACGACTGCCATATCCGCAACGTGGCTGTCTTTGAGTACCTCAACTCGCAGCGAGTGCGGGAGGAGCAGCGAGCGAGAGAGAAAGCGCAGAATGCACAGCAGGAGAAATTGCTGGAGAAATCTCAGGAGAAAACGCAGGAGAAAGTGCAGCAGGGGAAGGAAGAGGAGGTGGATGAGCAGCAGGGGGGCAAGCAGCAGCAGTCAGCAGAGGAGAGTGCACCTGATGGATCTGCCAAGACAGAGTAACCTAAAGTAAAGCTCAGACGTAGCAGGGAACGCGTGGGGGTGGTACCTGTGCATCAAGGACGATTGCCATATCCGCAACGTGGCTGTCTTTGAGTACCTCAACTCGCAGCGAGCGAGGGAGAAGCTGTGCGCGCAAGAGAAGCCCGAGCGAGAGGTAGAGCAGAAGTCGCTGACGGCAGAGCAGGATAAATTGCTGGAGAAAGTGCAGCAGGGGAAAGAAGATCGAGGTGGATGGGCAGCAGCAGGGGGGTAAGGAGCAGCAGGCAGCAGAGGAGAGCATGCGTGATGGTTCTGCCAAGACGGAATAGATCGGGGGAAGGCTCTAGCAGGGGAAGTTCCATATTTTGGAGAGCCGAGGCTCGTTATTGTGGGGTGGACGCTGTACAAAATAAGCCAGAAGACTTCCCTTCTTTTTTTTCTTTTCTTTTTTTTTTTTTTCGTAGCATTGCACGGGTTGAAAATAATCTGGGTGCACTTTCACTTGTGCAAAATGCATTCTAGATGTTTGTGAAGAGATGAAACTATAATGAGTAACATTGTCGCCATTCATGTTTCGCTAGTCACCTTTTGTTTGGGTTGACTGACGTCTTTGATCAGATTATCGTCGAACATTTTCAGCACTCATCGTCCCACATTTTCAACACATCTACAACCGAACCTCCACATATGGTCTGGTTGTTCCGAACCTTAGCAATTAGCGAAACATGAATGGCCTGGTAAACTCCATGTACATAAGTCCAAACCTGAAGCACACTTTTCACCAAGTTTGACTCGCGAGTCGCTGACTCCTCTGTTTCAACCAAACCAGGCCCCTGAATTTTGACCCCCTAGCATATAACTAGCCTTTGACTCTCCTAGCATTTCATTCATCACCAACCTCTATTCCATTTCCCCCATACAAAACGACAAGTAATTTTTTGACCCAAGCTTAGGCTCCAAAACAGAGCAAAACAAGCTCGTGGTGGATCACGAAGTCACCACACATTCCGAGCACAAGCAAAAGCCACAAGACCAGTTCACATGCAGAATTATATAAAAGAGAACAAACTGTACAGCGATCATACCCTAGCAAATGTAAGCACGCAGGTATACCGTATATAGATCACAGTACAAGCAAAGCCACGCAGTGAGCAAGTGAGGCAAAGTAGGTACAAGGCCTAAAACAGTACAGAAGCGCCGATGATCACCAGACTGAAGTGTCTTGGTAAATATATCAGCAGTGTTGGCCCGAGTGGCCACGTAAGCAAGACGTAGCTGGCCACGCTGCTGCAACTCTCAAGCAAGGAGTAATGCAGAGCGATGTGCTTCGTTCTGTGCTCCAGTCTGTGTTCCGGTCGCAAGGCAATCATGGCCTTGTTGTCTACGTACAGAACTGGAGAAGAACGAGGCCGCTCTCCCAAGTCGGTCAGCAGGTAGGTGAGCCAACGTAACTCCTGTGCGGCCATGGCCCCTGCGTAGATCTCAGCCTCACAACTGGAACCGAGAACAGAAGACGAGTGGGTAGACCGCCAAGAAACAGAGCCGAAGCCAAGCCTGAAAGTGTAAGCCTGTGACGACCGCTGCGTAGCCAAGTCATAAACCCAAGAAGCGTCTGCGTGTCCAGTGAGGACAATTGGACCTCATCCTCCAAGCACGAGCACCGTGCCCAACGTACTGCAGAAGTAGCGCAACACCCTCTCAGCGGCCTCCTAGTGCTCTGGTTGGTGTCTTCCGGGCGCAACATAGCGTGCCACGATCCTAAGAGGGTAGGCAAGGTCAGGTCGAGTGCAGGTCATCAGGTACATGAGGCAGCCTACAAGCTCTGGATACGGGCCACTCGACTCTACGGACTCGTCCGAAGGTGGAGCTGAGAGCGAGTGACCGGTAGGCAGAGGAGTGGACTGTGGCGAGGAGTACTGGAAGCCGAAGTGCTAAAGGACCTGATGCACCATGCGTGACTGAGTCAGGGTAATGGTGTGCCGTGCTCTGTCCCGGGTCATCTGCAAGCCAAGATAGCTGCGCAGCTCACCCAGGTCAGTGCAGGTGTGTCTGTTCTGCAGCTCCGACTTCACAGGGGCTAGTGTCTCAGTGTCAGCAGTAGCAAAGACCAAGTCGTCGACGTACAGGAGGACGTAGAATGGCGGCAGCGAGGTGTCGGTGCGTAGAAACAGCGACGGGTCAGTAGTAGATGGAGCAAACCCAAGAGCCGCAAGCGTTGTCCTCAGTCTGTTGTGCCACTCGCGAGGCGCCTGGCAGAGACCATAGACTGGCCGCCGGAGGCTCCGCTGGGTACCTGAAGGAAACGACCCAGTGAAGCCAGGTGGGCGGCGCCGCCAGATCCCCTCGTGCAGGCTGCCATGCAAGAAAGCTGTGCTAAAGTCAAGAGAGTGCAGCTCGTAGTCACGCTAAGCGGCGTCGTGCAGCAGCGCCCGAAGAGTGCTCATCTTTAAGGTAGGGGAGAAGGTCTGAAAGAAGTCAACTCCCTGTCGCTGTCTGAAGCCTCGTGCAACGTAACAAGCCTTGAAGACAGGCGGAGAATCCGGCGGCCGCTTCACCCTGAAAATCCACATGCCATCGACTATGTTCGCCCCAGGAGGGGGAACTTCATCAACGTAGGTGCCTGTGGACTTCCAGGATGCCATCTCAGCGTCCATGGCTGTCTACAACTAAGAGGATTAGCGACCCGTAATCGCCTCTGTATAAGAGCGCGGGGTCGAGATGTTTGGTGCATCCGGGTCTCCCTCAGGTGCAAACAGCTTGGCCACAAATTGAGGTACAGCAGATGCAAGACACTCAAAGTCCTCTTGCCTGTCCTCAAGGACGTCCGTGCCAAGAGCACACTCACACCCGACGGACGGAGGACAGTCAGACTCAGACTCAGCAACAAGACAAGTGGTGTAGTTGAGACGACAGGCAGCAGCAAAGTCAACAAGCTCAGCAACTAGGGCAGACGCAGCAGTGGACTCAAAAGAAGGGTCAGTGACAACAGTGGCGAGAAGACGAGTGAAAGTAGGACTAGCAGAACGAGCTAGGTCAGACTCAGGGTCAGGAACGGAAAGAATAGAGGACTCAGGAGGAGGCAGTAGAGGAACGCGCAGTGGAGCAGAGGAAGAACGAAGTGCCATAACGTGAGTGTCGGGAACAGGAGGAGGACGCGGACGAGGAACCCGACGATCAGTGCGAACAGCGCGAACAGGCGAGGCAGGACGAGACTCACGCTCACGACGCTCTGTAAAAGAGTCTGTCTGCTCAGCGTAAGGAGAAGGAGTAGGCAGTGGAGAGTATGGCTGTAACTGTGGTTACGAGTGGCGAGGTGGTGGACTCAGTAAGGCCAGTAGAAGACGGGAGACTAAGAACCTGGTGAAGGACCGACTCAGGTGGCGGCAGAGACGACGGTGGCGGCGGAACAAAAAACGGGTGCCGTTGCACAGTGCCTCCAGCACCTGTACCGCTAGACACAGCACCCCCAGCGCTAGCACCTCCAGCTCCAGGGTCAACAGCTCCAGCGCCTCTAACGCCAGGGTCTCCAGCTCTAGCTCCTCCAGCTCCAGCACCTCCAGCGCCAGGGTCTCCATCTCCAGCTCCTCCAGCTCCAGTGTCTCCAGCTCCAGTGCCTCCACCTCCAGCGCCCCCAACACCACCAGCCGCGGCAACTCCAGTACCCCAAGCACCAGGGTCAACAGCTCTAGTGCCTCCAGCTCCAGCGCCACCAGCGCCAGAGTCTCCAGCTCCAGCTCCTCCAGCTCCACCAGCCCCGGCAGCTCCAGTACCCCTAGTACGAGCACCTCCAGGATCAGCAGCTCCAGCACCTCCGGTACCTCCAGCTCCAGCAGGAACTCCAACACCTCCAAGACTAGTAGCTCCAGCACCTCCAGCTCCAGTGCCTCCAGCGGCAGAGTCTCCAGCTCCGGCAGCTCCACGCCAAAGGCGTGTGCGCCGAGCAAACCATTCGCGCAGCTGCTGCAGGGAGAGAGGCTTTGGCCGGGGAGACAGTCGTGGCGAGGCACCCGCAGGACCTCCAGAAGAAGCAGTACCCCTAGGCTCAGCACCCCCAGACTCTGCACCCTCAGACTCAGCACCCCCAGGCTCCGCACCCTCAGGCTCAGCACCCCCTGGCTCCGCACCCGTAGGCTCAGTACCCCCAGGCCCTGCACCCCCAGGCTCAGCACCCCCAGATCTCGCACCTTCAGACCCAGCACCCCCAGGCTCCGCACCCGTTGGCTCAGCACCCCCAGTCTCCGCACGCGCAAGCTTAGCACCCCCAAACACAGCACCCCCAGATGCAGCACCCCCAGACGCAGCACCTCTAGCAGCACCTGAGTCTAGAGCGGCCTCAATAGGCACAGTACCAGCGAGTGGGTCTACTTGAGACACATCTGAGGGAGCAGGACCTTGAGGGGGGAGGGGGTCTACCGGAGGGGAACTTGGAACAAGGAAGAGCGGCGGGAGTGGGAGAGGGGCAGAGCGGTAGGGGAAGAGACGGTAAAAGGGAACCGACTCGTGAAACGTGACGTCCTGAGAGGGGAGGACACGGCGCGAGATGGGGTGGTAAAACTGCCAGCCAGGCGCGTTAAGGGGAAAGCCAAGGAAGACGCAGGGAATAGCGCGGGCGGAGAGCTTGTCCGCGGACGTATCGCGAACAAAAGCACGAGAACCCCAGACCCGGAACACCGACGCATCGCCAACCTTCCCCGTCCAACGCAGTGTAGGTGAAGTCTCCGGCAAAGAGACACGGGGCCATAGGTTGAGCTGATGCGCAGTGTATCGGACCGCAAACGGCCACAGAAAATGGGGAGTAGCCGCATGGATCATGGAGGTACGAGCGACTTCCATGACTAAGCCAATGCGGCGCTCAGCAATCCCAATTTGCTGAGGGGAGGCCGGAAGCGTGAACGACTAGAGGATGCCCTCCCTCCGACAAAGGTCCCGCAAGAGGTTGGAGGAGAACTCATCACCTCTGTCAGAGTGCAGACGCAGGACAGGAAGGTCCTGGCGGAACCGCTCGCAGAGTTTGAGACGGACTGCGCAGATCCAAAGGATCAAGACATCAGGGACGTCACCCTTGCTGCGCATGGGGAATACCGTGGTTTAATGCGTGTAGTCGTCAACAACCAGCAGAAAGTAGCGCTCGCGGCCCTGTCCACTAACGCAGGCTGGGCCCCACACGTCCATGTGGAGAGTCTGCAGGGGAGCAGTCGTGGGGGAAACGAGGAGGACTGAGGAGCAGCGCGCTGCCGCCCCTCAACGCAACGAAGGCAGGGCGGGGCAGGCGAGGGCGGGAGGGGAGGCAGAGACCTGGGAAGACCAGAAACAAGGAGGCGGGAGTGCATGCCACGAAGGCATGGCAGGGAGGGGTGACCAAGGCGGTGGTGCCACAAGAGAGTCTGGTGCGACAGGAGGCGACACGAGCAGGGAGGTGCTACCGGACCTGACGCGGACACCTGGGCAGACGCAGCTACCTGAAGAGGCTTGGTAGCCAGTGTGTACAGACTCGACCCAGGTCGACGAGTGAACGTGGCCAGGTGACGGCCCGTCCGTGTACACGTGCAGATCGTCACACACTGACCCCCAGGAATGGTGGTAGTGACCATCGCATCCTGGAAGGCAGCGGTCCTTACCAAGTTCGTAGAGAACGAGGGGAGGTGAAGACCTGACAGTGAGCCGGATGGAACCGCCGGACACAGGAGAACAGTGGAGGAACGGGCAAGAACTGGGCCTCTTGAGGGGTCACACAGTCTGCTCGGAACAGGTGCAGCGAGTGGAGTGAGAATGGTATTGTCGCGAAAGAAACAGCAAGAAGCACCTGAGTCAAGCGTAAAGGTGTGCAATGCCTCAGCAGGCGCAGTACCAGGGAGAGCAGACTCACTAGCACCTAGAGCAACAGCCTCTATACCTAGATCGGAAGGCACACACAGGTAACAGTCACCCTCAGCACTGACAGACAAGGCATACATAGCAGCAATGATAGCATCATAGTGAAGAGCAAAGATAGCAACTCTAGACCTAAGCAGCTCTGCCCAGCGGGGGCGCTCAGCCTCGTCACCAAACTCTGCGCATCAAGCGTCGTCTAGGCGAGAGAAGCAGCAATGCTGAGTGTGAGGCTTCACGCATGTCTGACCAGCACGGTCACCCGTGCGAATGACATACGGGCAGCTAGCACTACCCTTAGACGCCCCACGCTGAACAAACCACTCACGAAGTTGCTGGGGCGAAGGGGTCTCGCTCCGACGCTGCTGCTGCTGCCTCTGGCCACCGCCAGAATCTCCCCTCGAAATAGCTCCACCCCGACTGCCACCACTCCCACTGCTTCCACTACCGCCACCCCCACCGCTGCCACCACCGCCGCCACCAGGGATGTCAATAGCAGCAGCAGAGGCGTAGGAGGGGGGAAGGGGGGAGGGGGAACACCCCTCAAAGAAGGGCATGCGAGGAGTGCCACGAGCGGCACCTACAGCGACTACGCTAGTATCAGCTGCAAGGAGGTGCTGCTCGAGCAAGTCGACAGTGAGGTCTGTGGGGTCAAGTGTGAGAAAGTTGTCTCTGATAGCGCAATGAGAGTCAGGGAGGCGGGTGACTATGAAGTAGAGAGTGATGTACGTCGGGGGCGGGTTCCTGTCAAGGAACTCTGCTGCGAGGGCAGCGCGGTAGCGAGTATCACTAGTGCGAAGGTGGGTAGCGAGGTCCTCTACCGTGGCAAAGGCGGACAACTCTGGAAACAGGTAGGGCAGTAGAAGACGGCATAGAGCAGCAGTGGCAGGGGAAGAGTAACGGGCGACTACAGCGTCGTACAGTGCTTTTGCAGTCTTGTGCTGTCCGAAGTGAGCGCGTTCGGTTAATGGCAGGTGGTTGCGAATGGCTAAGCGAGCAGCAGCGTCACGGGTAAGCCACTATGAACGAGTCGCACTGTCAGCTGTGGTGGAAGGGGCGAGAGAGGCTCCAGACGTGTGGTCAAACAACGAAACGCTGTCTCTAGAATCGCTTAGTAGGTACAGCTGTAAGTCGTCGAGCCACGTATCGAACTGGATCGGACGGCCCTCATGATCGAAAGTGAGTACATTGAGAGAAGCCATAGCAGGCAGAGCAGGGTGGCTCGATCACTAGGGAAGCGAGCAGTGCAGGGCAGGGCGGCGCACAGCAGGACGGGCAGTAGCCGGGCGGCGCAAGCAGCAGGGTGGGCAGGAGCCTGGCGGCGCAAGCAACAAGGAGGGCACGTTGGCTGCAAAAGGGGTGGCAAGCGGGCTACAGAGGGCGGCACTTGGGCTGCAAAGGGGGGGGGGGGGCGGCGAGCGGGCCGCAAGGGGCGGCGATCGGGCTACAAGTGGCGACGCGCAGGCTGGAAGAGGGCGGCGAGCGGGCCGCTGGCGGGCGACGAGCGGGCCGCATGCATGCGGCGAGCGGGCTGCAGGGGCGGCGAGCGGGCCGCAGGCAGGCAGCAAGCGGGTTGCAGGGGCGGCAAGCGGGCTGCAGGGGCGGCAAGCGGGCCGCAGGTAGGCGGCGAGCGGGCGGCAGGGGCGGCGAGCGGGCCGCGAGCAAGCGGCGAGCGGGCGGCAGGGGCGGCGAGCGAGCCGCAAGCGGGCGGCGAGCGGGCCTTAGGGGCAGCGAGTGGGCCGCAAGGGCGACGAGCGGGCCGCAAGGGCGGCGAGCGGGCCGCAATGGCGGCGAGCGGACCTATGGGCGGTGGGCGGGCCGCAAGTGGGCGGCGCGCGGACTGCAGGGGCGGCGCGCGGGCCTCAAGCAGGTGGCGAGCGGGCTGCAGGGGCATCGTGCTGGCTGCAGGGGCATCGTGCTGGCTGCAGGGGCGGCTCGTGGGCTGCTAAGGGCGGCGCGACGAGCTGCTAGGGGCGGTGCAGCGGCCGGAAGGGCGGCGCGTCAGTAGGGTAGGGCGGCAGGGCAGCTAGTGGGGCAGCTCTGTGGTGGGTCCTAAAAAAAAATCGGCCCTAGGGAAGGACCTGCTCTGAAACCATGTCAAACTAATGAACGAGGAATGAATGCATTGAACAGAAGTTGGGTACAAGTACTAACCCTAATTGGGTTGTACCCATTATGGGATACCCCACTACAGCCTAAACAAAGTAAGCACTATGACATTTTGATAGTCGACCTCCCAAGGGGAATGTTAGGGTCAATGGAAGGGAGAAAGTCCATAATGAGGCACTGACGTTAACTGTGACGTGCAAATATTCACCACGGAAGGAGTCTGAGAAATCGTCGGTAAATAAGTGGCATCATAGTAAGATCCACATGAGGACTTAGTTGCTGGGCGAAGGTACCAGGAGCGCGATTATGGTCGACCAAAATGTTTTTTTGTGCAGTAAACGTGATCCAATCACGCAGCGATTGGGATAAACTAGGTTTAACAAAAAATGAATAAGGGAGGGGGGGGGGGGGGTCTGAGGTAGGTCGTAGGTTTTAGTTCGTGAGGGACAGGTGTGGGGGGGAATCATGGGAGAAAGGTTCTCATAGTGAAGGTCGATATTGGGTGGACGTTTTTGGATGGGTCTGGCTGGGTGTGCTGACGTGTAGATACCGGATGGTGCGGATTGATTGACTCTTCACAGCACAACCATGATTGGTTCAAATTGATTTGCTGGCTCACACCTCTGAAGAAACCAGCTTGCGTTTGTGGGTTGGGTTGGGCGGTTGGGAATAAACGAAACCGATGTATCCACTTTGCAACCTCGCTGGACTTCGTGAGGTCCTTCTATTTCGTAAAATTTGATGTTACCCTGCTTATTGTCAATGCTACTCTGCCAAACCGCTTCCAAACTCCCTCGAACGCGGTTAACCGAGTGACGCGAAAATTTTGACGGAAAAGCAACTTTGTGGTGACATTTTTCCGCATGTTTCCGCATTCACCACTGGTGTACAGAATGTTGCGATTTTCGTGCATTGTTTTTTGGATACTTTGCGCAACTTGTAAGCAAGGTTTACAAAGAAAAACATTCGGAGGCCAAATTTCGCAACTTTCCTTTTTCACGATGCGCGCGCGGAGGTCCTGGCGCCGGCCCTGGCGGTCCCGACGGGCCTGGCGGGCCTGGCGGGCCTGGCGGGCCTGGCGGGCCTGGCGGAAAGCCGCCACACGGTCCGCCGCTAAACCTGATGGCCGTCGGGAATCTGGCGGCCGATGTCGGCGCGCGACTGGCCAACTGCACGGCTGATCAGACAATCCTTGACGGCCGCTTCCACCTCGCGATATTCAAGTAGGCCTCGCTGCCTTCCTATCTGTCGCCTCACATCTGTTGTGTGTTTACCGCATCGTCTTTCAGCTCTACTACTAGAAGTAGTTACTCGACTTTGGATTCGCACGCGCGTCGCCCCAGGTGCACTCAATATACTTCGAAACCCCTTAGCAGAAGTTACTCTGATCTTCGAGCTCATTAGAAATATATTCCTCCGCTTGTGATGAGTCGATTTTTGAGTCGACTCATCACACGAAGTTACTCTGATCTTCGAGCTCATTAGGAATGTTTTCCTCTCTGCCCTCCCCCTTCCTTCCTTCCCCTGTTTCAGAAATGCCACCGGCAATTACAACCTCCTCGTCGACGAGTCGTCCAGGCGCTGCCTAACGAGTCGACTAAAAAGTCAGCCCCTTCCCCTCTTCCCTGCCCTCCCCTTCCTTCCGTTCCCCTCTTCCCTCCTTCCCTTCCCCTGCTCCAGGAACGCCACCGGCGATTACAGCCTCCTCGTTGAGGCGCTGCCTTGAGTCGACTAAAAAAACAGCCCCTTCCCCTCTTCCCTGCCCTCCCCTTCCTTCGCTTCTCCTCTTCCCTCCTTCTCTTCCCCTGTTTCAGGAACGCCACCGGCAATTACAACCTTCTCGTCGAGGCGCTCCTGGTGGACGCGGCGGGCGGTCCGCCCGACTCGCTCGCGATCGTGAAGGGCGCCGTGTGCGACGCCGCCGCGACGGACGTCCTCGCGCTGCCGCTCGCCGCGGCGGACTGGCAGCAGCGCGCGGGGTGGTGGCTGCTGCACGCGGAGGCGCGCCTCGACGCGTTTCTCGAGAACGCGGACGCCGCCACCCTTGACGCGCTGCTCGTGGTGCTCCCCAACGCCTCGCTTCCGCGCAAGAGCGGCGGAGGCGCCGGCGGAGGCAGCGCCGGGGGCGCGCGGAGCAGGAAGGGTGGGAGGCGCATGGGGCGGGAGCTGCTGATGCGCGCATTCGGCCTCGCTGCCAGGCAGGGCGGACAGAAGCAGGGGGGGCAGCAGCAGCAAGGAGGGCAGCAGCAGCAGGTGGGAGCGCAGCAGCCGCCTGCAGGTGGTTTTTCAGGTGGATTTCCAGGTGGTGATGGCGGAGTGAACAGCACAGTGAGCGGGTGTGCTGTGCGGGCGGGCAGCAGCGCAGCAGGTGTGACGTGGGGCGGACAGCTCATGGGGGCCAAAATTCCTGATGCTGCTACTGCTGGTTCTGCTGGGGGTTCTTCTTGATATGGCCATGGGATGGTTTGACAGGGTTTTGGATTTCAATCAACCCAGGTTGTTGCGGCCTGAAAATACTGCTGCTTGGTATTACACTGTCTTGACGAGGCTCAAGTGGAGTGGGCTTGGTATGCAGGGTGTTGCTGCTGCAGATGAGGGCTTACAGTCATGGTTTTGAGGTCTGTGTGTGTTGGGTGGGATAGCTTTGCTTTCGTTCCTGCTATAATAGGTCAGAGCATCAGGGGCAGGAATGTTGGCAATGGCAAGTCATTAGGGCGCACCATCTGACTTGCCAATCTTCCTACCCCTGATTTGTGATGTTATTTACCTAGAAATGATTGGGTAACAACTGTGCATCTCTTCGGACCAACCAATATATCGAATTGCTCAGCAGAGCTAGGCAAAAATGGCTACTACGTAGTTCTGAAATAGTTAGCAGGCAGCCAATACTGGGTTACAATGTGAAAAGAGTGGAAAAATCCCTCATGTAACTCCCATAATATGTGTCTCAAACAGAAACCTTCCTGTACCCTTGATTGCTCATGAATCTGGAATGCCCAAGGGCGACTCAAATCAAATCCGAATTCGAGACCGTTCATTTTTGACCTTGGCTGCCCCCCCCCCCCCCCCCTCATATCATAAGGGACGCCCCTATCTATCTCTTTCTCCCTCACCGGTGTTGCCGGCAAAACAACTTCTCACCTGCAATTTCATCTTACGCATTGCAATCTACAGTAACAACGTTCATTAGCCCTTGCCGCCCTTGCGCCGCCGCCCAGACCCGCCCTTGCCACCCCCTCGGGACGCCCCTTTCTCCTTCTCCCTCGCTGGTGTTGCCGGCGCAGCCACCTCCTTCTCACCCGCCTTTTCAGAACCTTCCTCCTTTTTCTCCCCAGCCTTCGACTCATCGGCCCTTCCAGTCCCCTCTGCACCGCCCCTCTCCCCTTTACTAGCTGCCTCAGCATCTTCCTTGGCTACATCCTCGTTATTAGATGATGCCTTATCATCAGAAGCCACCTTTCCTCCCTTGAGCTCCTTCTTGGGCTTCTCTGCAGCGGGCTTGAGGTTCTTGCGCATGTCATAAGCATCCTCACTATCAGCATAGTACTTTGCCTCAATGTCATTAATCCTGCAAAGATGGACGGAGGGTGGGGGAAGAGGGTGGAGTGGAGGAGGTAAGGAGAGGGGAGAGACAGGGGAATGGAAGGAAGATATTGAACACAGTTGAATCATACATTGCTCCCTTGCTTCGGAGTTATAACTTGCATGAATTAGACTAGACAGGTAGCCAGCCAGCTGGTAACTAATTTGTAACGGGAAGCTACCCGAGTACAATTAGGGTTTGAGGTTCAGGGTAACTCACTTGTAACCGAGTGTTTCGGTGTAGAGGTGGAAAGCGGCCCGGTTGCTCTTCCTCACATGCAGCGACACGTACTCCGCCCCAAACACCTCCTCCATTGCATGCTCTGGTAGGAGAGTAGCATGGGGTTATCGGGGTGTGATGTTGGGGCATGGGGTTATGTGGTTTTGGGATAAGAGCAACGCGCGGCAGCGACACATACTCCCCTTCAACCACCTTCTCCATTGCATGCTCTAAGGAGCAGGTGTCAGGTGATGGGGGTATGAGGTTATGGGGCGATGGCGTCTAGGGGGGATGAAGAGAGATGTAGCAACACGATCTCCATTCCAACTCCAGGGGCGAGGGCCCCAAGAGATGTACAATGGACGGGCAGCAGCACTATCCGTTCCAGGCGCCTCCTCCATGGCACGCTGTGCAGGTGACAAGGGTGTGACTCACGAACAGCCGTCATGAGCTTGGTGGCGAGCCCCAGCTTGCGGTGAGTGCGCGACACAGTTGACATGACAGGGAGCACACTCGCGAGCAGCAGCCTCAAGACACTCACGAGCAACCAACACAATACGGCCCCACTCTCTCTACCCACATGCACCCCCTCTCTCGCTACTCACGGGCAGCTGTCATGAGCTTGGTGGCCAGCCCCAGCTTGCGGTGAGTGCGCGACACTGCCAGCGATGTGATGTGCCCGCGACACTCCGTTGACTCCTCCTCCCTGCCATGCCACCATGCCATGCCCATGGCCATGGCCATGGCCGTGCGGCGTGCCCATGTCGTGACATGCCATGCCATGCCATGCCATACCATGTCATGGCATGCGACACCCCAGTAATGGCCCAAGCACAGATGCCACACCACACATGGTCGGGTGGGAAGTTTCGTGAGGAAAGTTGCACTAGATTTGTTGCAGAATACTACACTATGTGGGCATATACACTCTGGACAGCGAGCGTCCAGCGTATATGCGCTAGCGTCCGTACGCTGGACGCTAGACGCTCGTCGGACGCTGGACGCTCGGCCAAATTTTTTTGGGGCAGCCCGGGAAAAAAAATTGACCGTCGAAATTTGAAATCGCGATTTCAGAGCTGGATCTCAAGCGCCAAAACTGAACCAGATCCATCACAATTTCAGAGGCCACCGCACTTCACCCCTTCTTATCTAGCCAACCCAACCCCCCCGTCACGTTCCTAAATAGTCGAGCATCACAATTCCTTCCTCACAATTGCGTTCATTTCTAGCATTTCTCACCTTCTCCAGCAGGCATCCATGGCGGAACCTAGTACCTCAAATGCTGCTGCTGCTGATGGCCGAAAGTGTGTGTGTAGAAATATTTATTTGGATAAATCTGTTTTTTTTTTTTTTGTTATGACATTTTCTCTGGAAATGTATGGTGTTGTGGCGGGTACCCCCCTTTCCCCCCTCTCCCCCCTCTTTTTTTTCCCCCTGCCCGGAATTTTTTTTCCCCTGCCCGGCCCAAGCGTCCAGGTCCTGACATCCGAGCGTCCAGCGTATATACGCCAGCGTCTGGACGCTGGCGTATAGGACGCTGGACGCGTCCATGTCCACATACTACACTCGCAACTCGTTACACTCACATCTTGGCAAGCACGTAGCCAACGATCATCTTGTTCAAATCATCTACCCACTCAATCCCCACCACACTCACCCCTCGCTACACACACATCTTGGCAGCACACACTCACCCCTCGTTACACTCACATCTTAGCGAGCACATAGCCAACAATCTTCTTGTTATAGTCCTCTGCCACGTAGAGCAGCTGTGGCCACGAGAGGATGTGGTAAAGGTAGTACTGGAAGGGGGGGGAGAGAGGATTGTGCGGTGTGGAGGGAACAACGGGTCAAGACATGACGGGATGTGGTACAGATGGTACTGCAAGGGAGGGGAGAAAAATACAGTATTTTAAGAAGCGTAGCATGACAGGGGACAGGTGGTATTGCTTGGAGAGCAGGGGAAAGGAGAGGGGGCGGGGGCGGGGGTGGGGGCGGGGGCGGGGGCGGGGGCGGGGGAGGGGAGTGGGTGGGTGAGGAGAGAAGAATAGGTGAGGACATGATAGGATGCGATGCGGTATGGGTAGTACTGGAGGGAAAGGAAAGGGGAGCGGATGGAGGGGAAGGAAAGAAGGGGAGCGGGGGTTTGGACAAAGGGAGGAATCCGTCACTTCCCTCCTAGCATTTTGCTCCCACCTTCGCATTATCCCCGTCATCCGATCATCCCACAGTCCTACCATCCCCACCATCCTCCCTCCTACCATCCCACCGTCCTCCCTCCCACCATCCCACCATCCTCCCTCCCACCATCCCCCTTTCATTCCACCATCCCACCACCTTCTTACCTTCATCTGGTAGTTCTCAGGCAGGCACATGAGGTTGCAGCTCTGCATGGCCAGAAGGTCCTCCACCTGCCCGCGACGGTTCCAAGGGCAACAGGGATGCAAGGGAAAGAGGGGTTCAAGGGACAGAGGGGTTCAACGGCAACTGGGTTAGGGGATAAGCGGGGTTAAGGGCAAGGGGGTTTAAGAGGAAGAGGGTGAAGGATAGCAGGGGTTTAAGGATAAGAGGTTCTAGGTGCCACCGAGTGTGTGTTGCCATGACATGATAATTTACGAGGAAAGGAACCAGGGCATTAAATCAGCTGCAGAACGTGGTGTAGGATAGAAGTGGAGCACCGCTTCTATCCCACGATGCTTTATGCGACGACGCTTTATGTTCATCCCACGAGGACGAGGACGACGACGATGCAACTGGTGGTTTTTTAGAGTTCTCAACAACCAGCTCGTATTATAGGATAGAATTGGAGCTTTACGTTCATCCCACGACGACGACGACGCATCCGCTTCTAAAAGGGGGCGAACTCCGAGCTTGAGAACGGGATCAGATGCGAGAAGCCGCATGGCGAAAACGGCGCAAACGGCGCATGCAATGTGAGCCTTACTGAGCCATACTTTATCACCGGAGCTTCTAAATGTCAAATAAAACGACAATGTCAGGTTGGACGACACAGAGCCGTCGTTAGCCGTCCACGGACTTCAGCCATGAACGTTAACCTAAATCTGGACGGTTTCAGTCGAACTCGCAGAGCACCAGGTGGCAAAAAAAAAAGATAAAACAAAAAGTTCAATCTGACCGTGATCGGACTGTACGCTGTGAATTCGGCTAGGTAAAAGTTCAGTCGAGCGGGGCTGAGTCGCGACTTACGGTGGCCTGGCGAATGCACACCATGGCGCCGAGAGGATTCGCGCGAGAAGCACGCGAGTGAGAGAGCGGGGCGGCCGACAACGGCGATTCGGAGGCGATTAGGAAAGATGATGCAATGTATGCGCAGGCTTTGGTTGTGTGCTACGAGGGGTATTAGGGCATGTAACTTTTTCAGTTTCCGTCAAATGTCCAGACGGAGTCCCCAAACCGGCCGGACGGAGCCCCGTCTGGACGTTTGGGAATAAGGTTCGCACGGCCTTTTTTGGGGTTTCGAAAATTGAATTTCACAAATTACCGCAATCGCCAACGCGTCGTTTACATCGCCAAGCTGCATCCGCGACTCGGCAATGTGTTGTCTCTTTGAGCCAACCACTTCGTCTTGTGGCAAAGCAAGTTCCCCCACACAACACATCTAGTATTGTTGTGTCTTGCCGTCACT